AAAAAAGCTAAAGAGGATAGAGAGAAACACTGTTAACTGATGGTATATGGAGGGGATAATAATCAATGTAATGAAACAAGCTATATGAATGGTTGACTGTGAAGCTGATGATGTGCCCTGTAAACTTTCACTCAATCCAAAATAAAAACATTTAATAAAAAAAAAGAAGTGTCCCCCGACAGCTGTTCCCAAGGCTTCCAGGGAGTCAGAGCAGCAGCTACTGAAGATGGTGACATTCAAGGCATTTCCACCACAGAATGGGCTCAATCCGCTGGATATGAGCCAGTTACACTTTTTACCAAGCTTTTTCCACATGTTGTCAGGTATCCATTGGACTGGGCTGAAACACAAAGTCAAGGTGAAGAAATCAATGCAGCAGACCAAAATGAACCCCAGTTAGGTCTGAAAGACCAGCAGGTTCTAGATGTCAAGAGCTACACAAGTCGTTTTTCAGAAAGCAGTTGAGACTTGGAGAGATCACTTAGCAAAAAAAGGGGACAGCTGAAAAAGGGACAAGGATGACCCATCTGCTATGGATTTTGTCACTTCTGCAAACCTCAGCATGCACATTTTCAGTATGAATAAGAACATATTTGATATTAAAGTCAATGGCAGGGAACATCATTCTTGCTATCGCTACTACTAATGCATTGATTGCTGGGGTGATAGAATCTTTCCAATACTATATCAGGAAAGACAGACCAATGTACAATAATGTTTTGAATCACCTACCAAACCCAAGAAAGCAGCTCCTTGTCCCTTGTGCGCTAGATCTGCCCAAGCCCAGTTGTTACATGCCAGCAAGCCAGAAGTGACTGTACGTCTGAATGTCCACAGAGTAACTGTTCTCATGTTGCCAGGTAAGATAGTAAAAGAAAACTTTGCCATGGTAGCACTGGATGTGCAAATTGAAGATGGGAAAGGAACAGTTCTAGCATGTTCAGAAGAGGGAGAGACAGACACTAACCATCACAAGACGATGTCAGAATTTAGAATTAGAAATGGCAGTCGGCTTCAAGCAGATGACTTCCCTCAGGACTACACTTTATTGATAAACATTCTTCATAGTAAAGACCTAGGAAAAGATGTTGAATTTGAAGTTGTTGGTGACGCCCCAGAAAAAGTGGGACCTAAACAAGCTGAAGATGCTGCCAGACTATAACCAGGGGCAGTGATGACAGAGCTCAGCCTTCAACACCCACAGCGCAAGAGCAAGGCACTGTGTACTCGTAGTTGATTCAGATCAAGAAAGCACTTTGAATAATGCTGTTTGTGTCAGCGAAGAAGAGAGGTCGCTAGAGGAAGTTGGATGAGAAAGAGAATGTCGATGCAGAGGAGTCATGTACAGAACCAACAGACGAACTTGAAGAAGTTACAGCATTAGATTGAACAGAAATATGCCTCCAGACAGAACCTTCTAACCATATTACGTCATCTGGGCAGAATCAGACTGTTGGGTCCTTTGTTCCAAAGGGAGGAAAAAAAATCACACCATCGACTCAAAAATGATTCTGCTCCCTTTGAAAGCATTCACTTTGCTAGAACAATTAGAAACACAACAGTCATGAGATAAAACACAATGCATGTTGCCTTTTACTGTAAATAACCCGTAGGTGTATCATTTAATAGTTATAAAATATTAGGGTTTAGTAAAGTTGGTACCTGGTTATAAATATTGTGCCTTTATTTTTGGTTAGAAAAATAATTTTTAGCCTAGATCTCACCATTTTCATACTCTGGCTGAAACATACAAAGAAGTATCAACTGCTATCGACGCATTGAAGCTTGTTTTTAAATGTTAACTGGCACTGTGTATATTGTTGTAAAACAAATGTTTAATTTACTCAAGTTTTCAGTTTGCACTGCCTGGTGTAGCTGTTGTAAGAAGCCAATTTTTGTGTATTATTATAGTTTTAGGTTATTTATGTTTGTTTTGTAAAAATCAAACACAACTATACTGTATTTAGACCAAAAAACCCCAACTCTAGGGCCAGTTTCCCTCTCTCCTGGAGGTCACTGAAAATCAGAGTTGACTCACTGGCAATGGGTTTGGTTTTGATACTTTAAATGGATGGAATCATAGATCTGGCCTCTGGTGACTTGTTGCTGCTGTCACTTCCTGTTCTGGACACCCACACTACCTCCTTGGAGGCTCCAGCCGTCATTTAAGTAGGAACCAAAATGTTGAGGAACTTGGAAAGCAATCTGCAGCCAGAACCCTTTAATGCCCAGTGGGCCGCTGCTCCGTCAGTCCCAGTTCACGGTGGCTACACTTGAAGGCTTGGGCCTCAAGGAGCAGGCGGTCCAGAAAACCCAGGAGAGTCTCTGGTATTTCAGTCTTCCCTTCCCTCTATTCCCACTGGCTTCTGGAGACAGCCAGGTCCTTCCCCACACCTCCACTTTCCTTCTTTCACCGCTAGAAGTGACCACGAGCAGGTTTAGATTTTTTCCCCAGAAGTTTACTTTGTTGAGAATATTATATACACAGCTCTGGGCCCAGGAGGGCACTGGGTCCTGGAGCGGATGGCTTTGGAAGGGTCAGACCCTTGCAGCCAGTGAAGCGCCCCTTTTCCCTTTTCTTGTTGATCTGGAGCCCAATGGACTGCGTGGGGCCTGAACGCACTCCAGCGTCCCCCCGTGGCTCCCATCAGCCACCTGGGCCCATGCAGATGGGGTGCTGGCCTTCCCAGCACGACTAGGCCGTCATGTGTCGTCTGTTTGCAGGAGGATATTGCAAAGCTCCTGCGCTACGAGTCCTCAGCTCTGCCTGCGGGACAGCTGACCAGCCTCATGGACTACGGCAGCCGCATGCAGCCGGGCACCCGCAACATCTATTACCTGTGCGCACCCAGCCGACACCTGGCAGAACACTCCCCCTACTACGAGGCCATGAAGCAGAAAGACATGGAGGTGGGGAGCCGCCCTTCTGAGGGGAGGTTCTGGGACCTTTGAGAACAGGAGTCCACAGGTACCTGGTGGGGTCTCACTTGGAGATAGGATGTGGATTTCAACATGTCAACAGGAGAGTCAGGGCATCTGTGTTAGGACACACCAGAGCCTCGCTTGGGTCAACTGGTCAACTAGAGTGTGGGGCTGAGCCTTAACTCCCCTCCCCCCAGGTTCTCTTTTGCTACGAGCAGTTTGACGAGCTCACCCTACTCCACCTGCGAGAGTTCCAGAAGAAGAAGCTCATCTCTGTGGAAACAGACATTGTGGTCGATCACTACAAGGAGGAGAAGTTTGAGGACAAAGCCCCTGGTCAGTGTCCTCCCACCCCTGGGAATGGGTAGAGAGCGTTGGTCCTATGACATCTTATTGTATGGGGGCCATCCCAGTTAGCAAGAGACGAGACACCACCTTCATAGAAAATTCTAAACCCCAGATCCTTCCAACGTGGCTTTCAAAATTGGCCAAGCTTCCTGAGACCACAGGTTGTGGTCTGAAAGCCCTCAGCAAGGGCCCCAGGCAGCTTCAGTTCAGGTGCATCATCTTGGCGGCTGCCTGTTCCTGGGCAGGTGGTTCTGATCAGAGCCAGGAAGGGACTTCACATTGGCTCTGGCAGCCGTGGGTCCAGGCTGACTCCCGCTCTTCTCTGTAGCTGATGACCGCCTCTCAGAGCAGGAGGCTGAGGACCTGATGGCCTGGATGAGAAATGCGCTGGGGTCGCGGGTCACCAATGTTAAGGTGAGGTCACCTGTGGGAGACTGGCATGGAGGACTCGGGAAGGAGAACCCCACTCTAGACGCCCAGCAGGGTGACAGCCTGCCGACTGAGCATCCAGGTGGAGTGGTGGCAAATTGAGTTGGGTCACAGGAGACTTAGGTGCGGCCCCTGGAAGGGCAGGAATGTCTAGAACGTCATGTACAGATGGGGTTTCAGTACTTCACACCCTATGGGAGGTAAACACAGCTCATCTGCATGTCTCAGGTGAGGCTGTAGCAGATATAGGACTTTATTACTGCTCTAGCTCAGCTCACGGAGGACAAGTCCCTGCTGCGCCTTTAGAGGAAGGTCCTGGGCAATCCTCAGGGAGCAGCAGTGTCGGCATGGAGACTGTGTGGCAGAGCCCCTCTCATGTTGCCTGGTTAATCTCCACCCCTCACCCCTGCTGCAGGTGACCCTCCGACTGGACACCCATCCAGCCATGATCACCGTGTTGGAGATGGGTGCCGCCCGACATTTCCTACGAATGCAGCAGCTGGCTAAGACACACGAGGAGCGAGCCCAGATCCTGCAGCCCACCCTAGAGATCAACCCCAGGTACGTGCAGTCTGTCAACCTCCGGATAACTGCGTAAATAGCCTTGCAGGCAGATGAGTGATCATACCAAGAATAGTAGACTGATGTTGTTAAGTGCTGTTGAGTCGATTCCGATCCATAGCGACCCTGTGTAGGGTTTCCAAGGAGCACCTGGTGAGCTTGAACCACTGACTTCGCAGACTGACGCCTTAGCCCACAGCGCCACCAGGACTAATGTTATGTCCTGTGGAATCGGTCCCCGCTCATAACGACCACGCATAGGGTTTCCACAGCAGCAGAAAGCCTCATCTTCCTCCCGCAGAACAGCTGGTAGTTTGGAACTACTGGCCTTGCAGTTCGCAGCCCGATTCATAACCACTACACTACTAGAGCTGCTAGGACTAACATTAGGCTGCATTTAACTGAGTTTAAGAACTGGACCGGCCGCCCCCTTCACAGGTACTATGCTTTAAGCTCTTTTGATGGAGGGGGAGGAAGTCTTAAAGACTGTGTAGGTTAGGTGTTGAACAGGGACTGATGGAGGGGGAGGAAGTCTTAGGGACTGTGGTTCTGATTGAGCATAAAGGCCCCTTTAACGTGGAATGGACTCCACAGTGCGTTACACATTCATCTGTTAACTGATCAAACTCGTACTTGCCCTCTTTGCTGCATACTGTTGAACTGTCAGTAACACAGACGTTCTGAACTTTGTTCCACACTATCTGATTCTTGTGTCTTAATATGGTTTTTGTGTATTGCTGAACTTTTCTCTCCATTTGAGTTTTATTACTTTCTCGGAAGTAGTTCTTGATTCCCTCTGGGGCCGCTTTCTGGAAGAAAATTAACCCCACCTTCACTAGTTGAGAAGAAGTAACAGTGAGTGATGCAGCTGACATACTGCACTTGTGTTATTAATTAGCTTTCTTCCTGCTTTCCTTCTAGCAGGGGACTCTTGAGGTAACCTAGCCACGACAGTCACCTTACCCTGCACGGAGTCAGTTCTGACTCCTGGGGACCCTTTATAGGGTTTTCTGAGGTTAGCAAATGTGGGATAAAGGTCTTTTCAGAGTGGCTGGGGAGCTAGAATGAAAACCAGGTTATGGTTTAATTACTTGACCTTTTACTCCTGGGACATCATCGGAAGTTTCCCCTTCTGGGTATGTAACTGTACTGGCTGATAGTACTTTCTACTGTAGAAATGGCTGGGTTTTTAAGTACACTAGCAGGCCTACAGTATCTGTGTGCACCTCTGTTGTAGGCACGCGCTGATCAAGAAGCTGAGTCAGCTGCGGGACAGTGAGCCGGCCCTGGCTCAGCTGCTGGTCGATCAGGTGAGAGGGGACCTTGGGGCTCTGCAGGTTCACGGCTCGGGGTGCCTTCCTGAGTGGGGACTGAGCCGCCCTCTGTTTCCAGATCTACGAGAACGCCATGATCGCCGCAGGACTCGTGGACGACCCCAGACCCATGGTGGGACGCCTGAATGAGCTCCTCACCAGGGCCCTGGAGAAGCACTAAGACACATAGAGGGACTGACCTGACCCGCTGGAGTTTTATTTACCTCAATTAAAGTTATTTCTCATTAAGGCTTTGGTTTGGAGCAGGGAGAGGGCTGCCCCCCGCCTCACTTCAGGCTCACCTCCACGGGGTAGTGGTCACTGATGGCCTGGGCCTGGGAGGAAAGCAGAGGTCAGCAGGGCTGCTTGTGCTCTCACTCCCCAGGGCATGAGAGGAGCAAGATTGGGAACGTACCAGCCCGTCACTCAGTCCATAAGCAGCCTGGAAGTCAAAAGGCGTAGCTGAGTTGGGGACGACAGTGCCCTGGAGGGCTGCTCCCGCGACCACAATCCTGCAGTGTACAGGGGAGGAGAAAGGGATTGGTCACCAAGCAGCCATCTTACTTACCCAGTGTGTCAGCTGGGAATGGACACCACAAGGTTGGTGGTTTAAGCACACCAGCCACTCTTACAAAACCTTACGTACAACAGTCAGTATGAGTCAGTGGCACTTAGATACCTAGAAATACATTTAACCTGGGAGCTGGAAAGACGGTGCATGTGTATGGATTGAAGGCGTAGGGATAATGACATCTTGACTGATAATCACCCAAAGAAATCTGTTCAGCACAATCTCCATCAAAATGCCTGTTTCAGTCTTTACAGAAATAGAAAAGCCACAGTAACTACAGCATCAGATCCACAAACCACTGCAATAGAACTGAGGGTCTACCAGTAACGGTCCACTAATGTTGGACAAAAAGTACTACCAAAGCCGTTCACTGGAGGGCTCGTTAATAAACAGGGCTGAGGGATTGAGTTTCGTCTCACATTATATACGAAAAAGCAAGAAGCACCTAACAGTGAAAATAGAAACACAGCATTCCTAACACACGAGAATGCCTGTTGGGTCTTCAAGTGCAGCTTTTAACAAGAGTGAGATGACAATAGATGCACAAGACAAAGTCCTTTGATGAATAAACAACACAACCTATAAATTAGGAGAAAATTTTCCAGAACCATTAAGATCTAAAACCCAAAATATAGAGCATTATCCAAACAAACACATGAAAAGATAATCATACACCATCGGTACTAACCCATAGTGACCCTGTATAGGGTTTTCGAGGAGCAGTCAGCGCCACACCAGGACTCCATTAAACATTTGTTACAAATGCCGACAAGTCGGTTCCAACCCATGGCGGCCCCTGTATAGGGTAGGGTTTCCGAGGAGCGGCTGGCATACTACCAGAGCGTAGTGGTTATGAGTCAGACTGCTAACCGCAAGGTCAGCAGTTCAAAACTACCAGCTGTTCCGCAGGACAAAGATGAGGCTTTCTCCCGTAAAGATTTACAGCCTCAGAAAAGGGTTTCCCCTCAATCCTTGTAAAGGAGTTTGTCTGTGTGGCCTGCAACAGCCGTTATAAGACAGACAATGAGAAGTGAGTAGAGATTGGCGGATCTGCTACCACTGGGAGTGGACAGCATCCTTTGGACCTGGGGTTCCTGCACTGAGACCCTCCTAGACCCAGGGGAAGGTTGATGCCTAGACACATGGTGATTTCCATGGAACGCTGGACCCACAACAACCCTCCCCCTAGAGCTGGTGCCCTGAATTTGGACTTCTGGTCTCCCTTAATGTGAGCATCAATTTCTGTTAATGCCATGGGTTTGTGGGGTGTGTCAGGCAGCACACATCATGGAACACTACTCAATCACATAGGGAAATGAAGTCTGGTCACATGTCACAACATGGATGAACCTTGAGGACCTCATGCTGAGTGAGCTCAGTCACAAAAGGACAAATCCTGTGGCTCCAAAGACGGTTCCTGGGGGAGGGGAGTCAGCGGGCCCAGTCTGGGAAGTGTTTCCGAGGCTGGCTCACCTGTCGTAGGCACAGTGTGTGGACTTGACTGTGGTGTCCGCTGTGTCAGGAATCAGCCACTGGAAGGTGGGGCTGGTGCGCAGGCGGATAGATGCCCAGTGGGAAGGGCTGACGTAGCTGCAGCCAGCATTGAAGTCACCCATTAGTATGACGTCCTAGGGAAGCAGCAGCCTGTCAGCCTGGGGCCTGTCAAACCCCCAAAGGCCCAGAGGGTCTGAGGGACCGGGTAGGGCTCACCTCCAGGCCCCACCTCTTCTGCACATCCAGGTAGACGTCATAGAGTGCGTCCATCTCGGCCACCGCGTCCAGTGGGGCCGCATGCAAGGGAACAATGGCAAACTCTCTGGCCTCTGAGGGGAGACTACGGTCATGCTGAGCCTGCCACCCACCCACAGTCGGGGACACTGCAGGGCCCGGGACAAAGGCTGGACAGACGTAACCTGAGGTGCAGACATGCACATGGCCAGAAGGCGGGGCCACACTCACCAGTGAAGGGCGAGGAGAACCAGACGACAGCCGGCTCCCGGGCAAAGGTGTCGTTCCCACAGGGTTCACAGCCATCATCGTACTGGTAGCTGTCCAGCACAGACACCTGGTCAGCCCTGCGGGCCAAAGGGACGGTCACCCAATGCCTCACCAGGAGCCGAGCGGGGCACTGCTGGGCCGCTCCCTGACCTACCTGGCCTCGCCTTCCCCGCCTCTGCAGCTCCTGACCCCCAACCCCCAGAGCACCCTGCCTTCAGGCCGCCCTTTGCCTCGCCTGAACAGGAAGAGGTAGCGCTCCTTGTAGCTGCTGCGTCCCAGCGGCTCGCTCACCACGAAGTGGAAGGTGTGCACCGTGTGCCTAGAGGTGGGAGACATGTGGTCCAGTTGGGTCCCTGAGGTCTCCCCCACCCCGGCCCCGGCACTCACTCATTGAGGTTGTCCAACAGCTTCCCCACAGCTGTCAGATGGCTGTCCCTGACCTCCTGCACCACAGCGATGTCATAGCGACTCAGGATCTGGGGGCGTGGGGGGCGTCACACGGGAGATCACTGCTCGGCTCTGACTGATGTCCAGAGCGTCCCAGCGTCCCCCACCCAAGTCTAGAGTGCTACATAACCTGCTGGCAGCCCCGATCACCTGCACAATGTAGCTCGAGAGGGTGGCATTGGACATCTTGGTCTCCCCAAAAGTCTGGATGTTGAAGGCGGCTATTCGCAGAGACAGGGCTGCCTGCAATGCACTGGCCAGGGTCAGCAGCAGCCACGTCATCCTTGGGGGCCACATCCTGCAGGAAGGGAGTCCCCAAAGTTATGTCAGTGGTGCACTGCTGGAACACAGACTCACGACCCCGAAAGCCTTCACCACAGCTGCCCAGGTGCACCCTGGCTTCCAGAACTGCTCCCTCCCCCTGCAGGAACACACTATCCCCTCACCTGAGCCACAGCTCCCAGGCCGGAATTAGAACTGGCTGATACTGACGCTCTACCGAGCTTTAAAGGCCCAGGTGGCCATGACCTCACCTTGGCCCACAGAACAAGGGTGCTGCTACCTGTGCCAAGGCCCCAGGGCATGGGAGGTGCTGGCAGCGCCCCTCAGTGGGCGCCCCTCCCTCAATGGGGTGGCTTCTGGCTGCTGAGAACACAGCAGCTGACAATCAGCTCTGTTGGACGTCCTTCACACATGCATGCTCTCCCACACCAGGTGTGTGTGTGGGGGGGGGAGGGCTATGCTCCCCACACCAGGTGTGTGTGGGGGGCTAAGCTCCCCCCAGTTAGCTGTGTGAGCAATGCAGACTTGGGGGCAATGAGGGGACCTGACTGGGAGCAGGTGTAAGGCGGCATTCGGGGGCGAGGATGGCATGGCCCCTGAGCTGCCAGAAGACCTGGAACCTTTGGAAGGCAGCTCAGGCAACGGAGTGAGCAGTCTCGGCATGTCTTTCCTGACCTTCATGTTCCTACATGTCCTGGGGCGGCCCTGACCGAGGACCATGGACCTGGTGCCTTAAACAGCAGATTTCTGGTGGCTCTGCCCCAGTCTCCCCTCCCCCTGTGTCTTGTCTAAGGACACGTGTCACTGGACTTGCCCACTTGCCCCCCTCCCCTCCCATCTACGGTCTCCAGGAAGACCAGGAATTTGGGGGACAGGGCTCAGCCCATCCCCCAACCCCAGGGCCATGGGCCTCCCAAGAGGGGCATCAGGACTTGGGTACAAGAGTCTCAGAGTGGGAGGACCTGTGGCTCAGACCCCGAGAATGAGGACTTACTGATGGGCGACTTCCTGTGGGCCCCCTCCCCCACCTGCCCGAGTGGTCCACTCATCGCCGTCAACATCCACTGGTGGGCTCACAGCAGCTGCCAGCAGCCCATCACCAAACCCCAAAACCCACAGCCAGTGAGTCGATTCCAACTCACAGCAACCCTATATAGGGCTTCAGGACTGTGTAGCTTTATGGGGGCAGACAGCCTCATCTTTCTCCTGAGGAGCACTGGGTGGGTTTGAACCACTGAACTTACGATTAGCAGCCTATCACAAAGGTTCCATTGATGGCCTCCTATTCCCAATCTCAGAGGTTAGATCGGTCCCAAGCACATCATCCTCACGTGGGGCCTGGGCCCCTTCCTCAGCAGTCTGCAGTTCTTGAGCCTTTATACAAGAGGGGAAATCCAGAATGAGTGCCATCCTCCACAGAACACCCCCCGAACCCTCAGCTGTTAGACAACCCAATGCAACACAGCCCCTCGACCCTTAGCCAGTAGGGTCCTCTGGCCCTTGGCACCCTCCCTGCTCTCGACTAACCGCTGCTGTCTGCTCCCAGGGCTCCCAGGCCCATGCCTGCCCTCTTCCCTCCCTTCTCACTGGGATCCATAGTGGATCTCCTGAGGGTCGTCCTTGGATCCCAGGAGCAGCTGGAATGGGCCAGGAGCATCTGACAGGGCATCACCTACCGAAGACACGGTCCCGGGCTCCTTCCCACCTCAGTGTCCCTACAGTTCATCCCGTCACAGCTCCGTGTCCACCTGCCGGGTCAGCTGGGCCAGCTGTGCAGACACCCAGACACCTCACGGCAGCGTCTCCTTGGGGCTGAGCAGCAGCTCAGGGCATCTTCGAGGCTGTTCAGTACCCAGGTGCCAACACTTGGTCTGACATGGTGCAAATCGAACAGTGCAGAATTTGGGGAACGGGTCAGAAAAAGGGAAACTGTTTTCCGAAGCACATAAACCTAGGTGGTGGAGACACTGAGAAACAAATATATATATATATAAAACCTGACCATGAATATATGAAAGGGCTTCAAAAAGTTTATGGGAAAATTACATTCTCTTTTAATTCCATTCTTCCATGAACTTCTCAAAAGCCCCTAGTGTAAAGCTAGCATCAGATACAAAGTAACCAGGAAGCCTGGCATCTGGGGAGCCCAGGGCCCCACTGAGATGCAGGAGTGGGGCCAGCAGAGCAGACCCTGGCGAAGGGTACCAGGAAACCCCATGGGCAATTTTCAAAGTCAAATCAATAGGCAAATGGGTGCTGGCAGCTAGTGACTACTACGTGAAGAGCCATTCATGGGCTTCGACCAGAGAGGGCATTTAAAACCAACCCTGAAGGCTTTTGTTAAAGAGTAAAGACATGCTCCCTGAGCCCCAGGGGACCAGGTGGCCTCAGAAGCCGCCCCCGAATACACAGGCTGCACTCAGCCTCACACGGCCCACTTCGCAAAGGTCACCAAGGCCACGTCGCCAGTCTCTCACAGGTCTAACGGGGACACAGAGCTGTCTTCCCAAACCGTACACACAGCACCTGGGACACCACAGGGCACCCGGGACATCATAGGACACCCGGGACACCACAGGACACCCAGGACACCACAGGATGGCTTTGAAGAGAAACACATGGCGTCTTCAGACAGTGAGCAACCCACCAGCTCACGCAGCCCAAAGCATCCATGTGCACCTCGCAAAGGAGATATATCCTCGCAAAGTCACTGTTGGCCAGCTCTGCTGGAAAAGCCCTCACTGTGGAAATCAATGAGTTAAGAGCCACGAGGACAGGCGTCTGACTGGACCCCAAGGTGTGAGAGCCACATAGGGTCTGACAGATGCAGCATCTGTTAGTAACTGTGGCTACTTAGCGACGAAATCAATGTCTGTCTTTCCATCCTGTGCTATTTTCTCAAATGTCTCTGAAGTTGCTATGACACAAATATTTTGCTGTTTGGCCTCAGGCACCTGACACAATCACTGAGCTTCACCCAGGGTGCTGAGCGCCCATGTGGAAGCCACACTCGGCCCCGCCTCCCCTTCCCCTCCTGGTCTGAGGCCCTGGGACAGAAATGGACATGGCTGTGGACACAGGAGTGAAGGGGAAGGCCGGAAGGCCCTGCATTACAGCTGATGGGAGAGTCAAGTCTGGGATCCCCTGCTTGCCAGTAACCGCTGAGGGTCCCCACTGAGACCCCAAACTCCGGATCACGTACATCCTGGTCAACCCTGCAAATACCCAAAGCCCCACTGGTCCTGCATTCCTCAGCCCCACCCCACTGACACCCCCGTGTCTGGTCCTCTCTCCAGTCCCCATCAGTGCCCACCCGAGCCCTGTTGTGTCACCCCTCACCATCTAAGTCCCCAAGCAGCACCAAAACAATCTGTGAAATCAGACTGTGTGTCCCTGCCCACAGTCCCCCCAACCACTGCCAGGGTCCCATGGCCCTGACCCTGCTCCTCTGACAGGGCCCTGTGGGAGCAGAGGCCTCAGGGAGCTTACTCAGGGACACACCCCACACTGACCATGGAGCTGGGCGCAGGCCCCATTCAGACCCCAGTGGCAGACGCTGAAGAGCCGCCGGCCCAACTGCCCACACAGGCGCCTTCAGGACATGGCCACTGCCCAGACTCTAACCCCAGACCCTCAGGCCTGGTTCCCATGGCACGGCTGGCTCCTTTCCAGCTCCTCCACTGCGGGGGTCCCAGGCAGGAGGGGGCATGTGAAGTCAGCACTGTGCAATTCCACAGACACAATGCCAAGTCTCGGTGGGGCAGCGGGGAGCGCGGTGGTGTGTGGGCTCAGCTGTGGGGGGTTCAGCAGAGTCAGGGGGTCAGTGTAAGATCTGGAAGGGTAGCTGCAGAGGCAGCCATCTCCACAGACTCAAAGGGCTCTGGGCCACAATGTGAGTTCTCAGAGCTCATGGACCAGGCCTCACCCCCACACCCCAAAAGGATCACAGGCCACTCACCTTGTGTGCTGTCGGCCCCAGACATGAAGCCACAAACGGCCCAATGTAGGAAGTGAGTGCAGCCGGCTCTCTCCCTCCTTGTCCTTTGCTGACCAAAGCCAGAGCGGATGGCTTCGTCAGGCTTGTCCAGTTGGCCTGGAATCTAGCAAGGAATGTAGGACAGTGAACATCTGGGGCCTGTGACTTGGACACATGGAACAGTGATCTCTGGAGGCCCCTCGGCTGACCACTAATGCCACATGGAGTGCTGGTCCCCGGGACACACTGAGGGCTGTCCCCCGATGTCCTCCTCATAGTCTGGGCCATCTCGCTTGTTCCTAATCTCGCCATAACTGTTCAAAAGAAGAAAAAGGAAAAGTTGGCAACACTCCTGTGGCTTAGACGAGAACTAGTTCTTCTGGATCTAGTGGTCACCTTGTTACTGTGGTAACTGTCCCTCATGGGCCTTACTTGCCAAATTTAGTAAACACAGTACTCTTCCAAAATGCACATATTCTTCTGTCTGTGGAAGGATATACTTTCAGCTTCCTAGGTCTCTTTCCTCTGCTGGGCTGTGATGTCCTGTCCGACAGTCAGTCTGTGTTAACCCAGGCTGCACCTGAGGACTTGACAGGAGTGTTGTTACTATGTGGAGTTCTCGTGTGGTGCTGTGGGTTAATGCGCTGGACTGCAAGGTCGGCTTGAACCGCAAGGTCGATGGTTCAAGCTCACCAACTGCTCACGGTCGCTGTGGGTCAGAACTGACTCAATGGCACTTAACAACAACAAAAATCGAGTCCTGGTGTGGTGCTGTCACATAAGCAATGGGCCACAAGGTCACTTGAATAACAAGATTGGCGGTTCGAACTCACCAGTCGCTCCTCGGGAACCTTGTACAGGGTCACTATGAGTCAGAATAGACTCCATAGCACTTAACAACAACAGGCACAATGGGATGTCCAGTGGCCCCATATGATAAGAACTAGAAGGCTGCAGTTGGAGCCCACCAGCCATTCCATGGGACAAAGATGAGGTTTTCTGGTCCTGCGAAGATTTACTGCCAGAAATTCAAGCCAAA